ACAATTCAAGTTTAGGAAAAATGCTCAGTCTCTCTCCCAGCCCACCATCTCTCAGCCAAGTCTTTCACAGTCTCTCCCCCAGTAGTGCATGTCCCTTGGTGTCTTACTCAGCAATGCATGTCTCTTGCATCTCTTCCCCGGCAGCGCATGTCTCTTTCAGGAGCGTGTGTCTCTTTCAGCAGCACATCTTCCTCAACCTGCAGTCAGAGAGAGTTCTGCCTCTAGGTGGCCTCCTTTTGAGCTTGGCAGAGTGGCCAGACTAGCCAATCATAGCATCAGAACTCTTAAGCACCTGAGAGAGAGCCTCCCATAACATTGTATTGTGCCACGCCCAACAGAAACATTTACAGGTGGATAACATTTACAATCAGGAGCTCCTCAGTTGCTCATTCCACCCACTGAGTTTACAATGACTTATGGGTAGAAAAGCCATACTAAGTGATTTACTACACTGCAGTCACCCATATCATTTCCTATTTGTGTTATTTGCATCTTCTCTTTTCCTTTGTTAATTTGGCCAGTCATTTGTTGTTTTTATTAATCTTCCAAAGAACCAACTTCCCATCTTGTTGATTGTCTTTTTGTTTCATTTATTTCTCATCTAGTCTTCAGTATTTCCTTTCTTCTGCTGACTATGGTTTTTGTTTTTTTTGTTTTTTTTTGCTGCACTTTTTCTGTTTGTTGAAGTTGAAGGGTTAAGGTAGCAGTTTAGACTCTTTCCTTTTGATGTGTGGATTTAATGCTATCAATTGACCTCTGAGTACTGCTTTTGCTGGGTCTCGAAGGTTTTGATATATAGTATTTCTTGGAAGGAAGATGGGGCAATCTACTTCCATAGTGATACTGCCTTGGAAACCCAAGGAGGGGTCACTATGAGTTGGGTCTGACTCGATGGCACATAACAACAACAACAACAACAACAACATTTCATCCTCATTTGATTCTAGGAGTTTTTGAATTTGATTTATTATTTCTCCTATTATCTAGTTTTAAAGCTGTTTTTATTCAGTTTCCATTGATTCTTTTTCCTTCTTTTATTGATTTCTAATTTTATAGCATTGTGATCCTAGAAGATTCCTTGTATTATTTCAAAAATTTTGAATTTATGGAAGCTTGCTTTATGACCTATTATATATGGTCTGTTCTGGAGATTGACCCTTGTGAACTGGAAGAAAATGTGGACTGTGCTAGTGTTGGGTGATGTGTTCTATAGATGTCTGTGAGATCAAGTTGGTTGATAGTGTTGTTTAAATCTTCTGTGTCTTTGTTAAGTTTCTTTCTAGTTCTGACCTTCATCAGAAGTGATGTGTTAAAATGTCTTCTTATTACTGAGTTGTCTATTTTTCTTTTTAATTCCGTTAAAGTTTGTTTAATGCATTTTGGACCTCTTTCATTGGGTGCATGGATGCTTATGGTTATATCCTCTCTTGGCTTGACTCATTAATCATTATGTAGTGCCCTTCCATGTTTCTTAGGCTGATTTTTGCCTTCAAGTCTGTTTTATCAGAGATTAACATTGCCATATGCTCCTTGGAAGTGAGAATGGCCAGACTTCGTCTCACCTATTTTGGTCATGTTGTCAGAAGGGGGGACCATTCCCTGGAGAAGAATGTCATGCTTGGTAGGCTGGAGGGTCGACGAAAGAGGGGGAGGCCTTCAACGAGATGGATTGACACGGTGGCTATGATGATGGGCTCAAATATAGCAGGGATCGTGGAGCTGGCGTGGGATCGGGCAGCGTTTCATTCTGCTGTGCATGGGGTCGCTATGAGTCAGACACGACTCGACGGCACCTAACAACAACATTGCCATTCCTCTGTTTTGAATGCCATGTGCTTAATATCTTTTTTCCATTCTTTGATCTTTAATTTATTTTTATCTTTGTGTCTGAGGTATGTCTCTTGTAGACAGTGTATTTTTTTTCTTATTATTTATTGTGATTTGGGTGAAGATTTACAGAGCAAATTCACTTTCCATACAGCAGTTCACATATCCTTTGTCTCATGTCATTGATCACAGTAGACAGTGTATTGATAGGTCATATTTTCTTATCCATTCTGTCACTTTCTGTCTCTTGTCTGGTGGATTTATTCCATTTATATTCAGTGTAATTATTGATAGGTTTGAATTTACTGTTCTTTTATTTTGTTGTGCTTTTTTTGATGGCACTGATGATTTCTTTGTTTCTTATAATTTTCTGTGCTAATTATTTATGTTTATGGATTTTCTTTACTTTTCTTCCATTGCTGTTGATTTTATGTTTACTAAGTATTTATTTATTTTGCTGAGAAGGTTTACTAAGTTACTTTGTGGTCACCCTGAAAGTTATTTTATTTTCCTAAGAAAAACAGTCTGTTCTATCTTGATAGCACCTTAAACTCTTCATATGGAAGGTCTGTGTCTACACTACTTATTCCCTTATTTTGTTTTGACATTGTTGTTTACAAATTGATGTCTCTGGTTACTTATTTTTAGTCTTGTAGCTTTATTTTTCATTTTATGAAAATTCCTTCTCTAGGTTGATTTCTGGATGATGATATCATAAGCCTTAATCTCAGATTGTTTAATTTTGCTTCTCTGTCCAAATGATTCCCTTTAGTATTTTTTATAAAGTTAGTCTGGTTTTTACCAGTTCTCTTCATTTCTGATTACCTGAAAATGTCTTGCTATCATATTTAGGGCCAATTTTGCTGGATATATAATTCTTCATTGGCAGTTTTTTTACTTTCAGGATTTTATATATGTCACCCCATTGCCTTCTTGCATTCAGGGTTTCTGCTGAGAAATCAGAGCTTAGTCTTAGTGATTCCCCTTTGTAGGTAACATTTCGTTTTTCCCACGCTCCTCTCAGGAGTGTTTATTTGTTGATGATTTTGGTAAATTTGATTATATGTTTTGATTTTCTTTTGGAGTTCATCCCATTTGGGATTTGCCGAGATTCTTGGATGGATATCTTACCATCTTTCATGATGTTAGGGAAATTATTTTTCAATAAATCTTACAAAATTTTCTCTATGATTTTTTTTTTTTTTTTTTTTTTCGATCTCTTCCTGTGCTGGAATTACCATCATATATAAATCATTCCTCTTGATGGTGTCCCTCATAAATATTAGGCTTTCTTCGTTCTTTTTTTTTATTATTGTTCTTTGAACAGATTGGTATTAAGGGATTTGTCCTTTATTTTGCTGATTCTGACTTCTATTGATTTATTCTACTCCTTTGTCCTTCCTGTGCATTATCTATTTCTGAAATTTTAATCTTCTGGATTTCTAGTTGCCATTTTTGTATAATTTCTAATTGCCTATTTATTTTGCCATTTTGTTCTTGTATTGTTTTCCTGAATTCTTCTAGAGTTGTTTCTGTTTTCCTTGATTTATTTCTTGATCTCTTGAAGGTACCCTATATATAAGTCTTTTGAGTTCCTTATTAGTTAGTTCCTTACAATACCATTTCTACCTCAGGGAGCTTTTGTGGCTCTTTATTTTGGTCACTTGCTGGTGCCATCTTGTCCTGATTCTTTAGATAATTAATTATAGATTGGTTTGCTGCGTCCTGATTTTTTGTTGTGATTTTATTTTTTGATGTGTCTAGGCAGGTGGGATGGGTGTGCTCCTCTAGTTGCTAGTCTGCCTGCACCGAAGCATTCACCTTCCGTTTCCAGGTGGGTGGTGTAGCGGTTGGGTTTGTGAGCTTGGGTCTCTATTTGCTTGTCATGTAGGGTAGCTGAGGGTAGGTTGGGTGGGTGTTGTCTGCTGTCTGTTGTTGATCCAGTGGCATAGGAGCAGGCAGTGGTACTTGTTGCATGGGTGGGGCAGCAGGTGTGGCTGGTAGTGTGGATGCAGTTGTTTCCTACTGTGGGATGGTGGGGGATGGCAGGGGCAGGTGTGTGCAGGGTTATGCTTCTGCCACCTCTCATATAGTGGGGGTGCTGTGAGTGGCAGGTCAGTGTGCATGTGATTGCTTGCTCACCACCCCTTGCCAGGTGGGGGAAAAGAGGAGAAGCAAGTGGCAGGTAGAGGAGGGGGGAGAAGCAGTGGATGGGTGAGTGTGGGGTCATGCTGCTGCCACACCAAAGTAGCCTGCAACCACTTGGTGGGGTATTTGAGTAGGGGGAGTGGTGGTGGTTGGGGTGGGTGAGGGGCGGTACTCAAGGCAGAGAGGGAAGGTTGATAGTCCGGGCTGCACGAGGTGTGAAGGGAAGAGCCTTCTACATTGGACCTTGATGGTTGGGGCGGCAAGGACAGGGTGGTTTGTACCACTAATCACCAGGAGGGGGGGAGGAGGGGCATTCTCTCGTCACTGGGCAAGGGTGCCTGAACTCTTCCTGTTGCCTGCAGCCAGCAGTCAGGACTTTCTTCACTCCAGGTATTTCTACACAGTTACTCTATATCCTGTTGGAAATTCTGTGACGTTTCCTTCTGTGCATCTCCTCCAGGATTGCTACTGTCTTTGTCTCTAGGTGGCCATGCTGTGCTGGGCTGGCTGGCAGGGCCCCTCTGCTCCATCTCTTCTTGTTTGCTTGTTTTCAATGAGTTTCTTCTTCCAGTCAGTGTTCACTTTAGTTCTTTATCTTTTCATTTAATATTCAGGGTTCTAGGATTGTCTAATGTATCTGTTTCACTTAGTTTCTTGGGTCTTTGCTGTAGAGGAACAGCGTGGTATGTTTGATTAAGCTGCCATATTAGCCAGAAGTCAGCCCTAATTTAATCTTATTGTTTAATATATTATGACTGAGTTGGAAAGATAATTTTGAAAGGCTTTCTGTAGAGTTTTTCACATTTAACATCTGAGCTTTGCTTTCCTATTTTTGATCATTGGGGCATTTAACTACTCAAAAAAGCATAAAATGTGGAGTAATAGTCTATGTATATGAAGGTATCAGTATTATTCACATTTATTTTACTCATAATAAACTGCTAACAATGGAATGAGTTGAAAATTTTTTTTTCCTACTTGTAGTGACCTGTACTTAAAATTAATATGTTACCTCTTATTTTTAGCCAAAAAGGCTTCTGGAGTGTTGTCTTTCTTCCGAGGGACAGCAGGGAAAAGCCCTGACCTCTCTTCCCAGAAGAGAGAGACCTTACGTGGAGCAGACAGTGCTTACTACCAGGTCGGGCAGACGGGCAAGGAGGGCATGGAGAATCAAGTCAGTGAGCCTCAAGGTGTGTTAAAGGAGACAAAACATGCTTGCTGTAGGCTTTGATTTATTTATGTTAGCTACTTAATCCTCCTTATAAGCTAAGTACATAATTCTTACTCCCAAAACCAGGACTTTCCCTCTCTCTCTGTATCTCAGTATAGACTAGAAAACATATGGGGCTTGGAAAGTCCACTTGTTTCAGAGCATTGGTATCACTTACTGTGTGATAGAATCAGAAATTTCCTTACCTGTAAAGTGGCAAAAATAATGTCTTCAGAACTTTACTGAAGACTTACTGAGGCTGATGTATAGATCAGATGTTTTCATTCCACTGTCTCCTTAGGCATCACCTTATGTCCGTACTCACTTTGATATTTTCTTTGGGATGTGGGATTACTGACCTGTTTTTGTAAATTAAGTTTTATTGAAACACAGGCACATTTACTTATTGTTGGATTGCTTTTATGTTACGTTGGCAAATAGAGTAGTTGTGACAGAGTAATGTATTTACTATCTGACTCTTTATAGAAATAATTTGGTGACCCCTTGGTTAGACCATGAATTAGTTGTTTAAAAAATAGCCATCACATAATAAAGTTTCATCAGAAATTGAGAAACCTATTTATATTCTCTAGATTGGTATTGGGTTGTAGGTGCTTATAATTTGGTACTTTGAAAAAGGTTTTTGAAATGTTAAAGTTAGGGGATGACTTGTTCTTGTAGATATTAAAATATATTGCAAGTTTACAATAATTAAACAGAGTGAGTCTGTTTGCCAGAGAAATCAGTCAAATACAGAAAATAGCTGTGACGTAAACCCTAGTATGTTACATTTTATGTATTGCATGTGTGGCTTAACATAATAAAGGAAGTATCACAAAATACTGGGGAAGCATTATTCTATACACATAAGGAAATTAGTTATAAACTCTGATAAGAATCCATGGAAATTCTTGGTGTAAGAGCTGAGCTAGTATATTGCTATCATAGGAATCAATTAAATGTAAGAAAAACTCTTCAATCTAATTTTTTTAAAATCTAAAATTGGACTTTCAAAAGATGTATACATTTTTATTGTAATAGTTTATATACTTTAATTGTATATCTAATGCTTGTTTGATAATGGCTTGACCAGGATATGTTGAATTGTTAATTTTTGTTGTTGAATCAGGGAAAAAAGAAAAAAACAAACTGATAACCAGTTAAACTCTGCCTTTACTAATGATATTAAACCTTTTAGATGAGGCAGATGGAGGAGATACACAAAAGAAACAACTCACAAATCCTCATGTGGAGCTTCGTAAGTCTGAAATAACGTGTTATCAGTCTGGGGACAGGGAATATAATTGAGCAGATTCTAATATTATTTGAGGCTTCTAGCTTCATTCTAGGTAACCTCTCTTCTGTTTCACATTTCTATGTTGACGTGAGGTTTATTTGATTATAATTTGATTATTTGATTATAATTTCATTTATAAATTATAAATGGCTTAATTTATACATAAATTTACTTAATTTTTGAGTTTAATTTTAAATTACAATTTAATGCATACATTTATAAATTATAGTTTGATTTAATTTCTCATTTAAAAAATGTTTACTATGTCATCTGAAGCCATAGAGCCTTGATAGGGCATCTAGAATGGTTTGTGTGCGATGACAAAAGAAATTGTCATCATTTAGAGTAATATCATGTATAGTAAATCATAAGACACTTACTTAAGAATCACTTTTTAATTATTAAAATACTATAACAAGTGTAAAGTTAGAACTGGGTCTTATTTTTGTTTGAAATTTCTGACAGTATGTAATGGCGACCATATAATGCTCTCTCATCATCCCTCCAGATCACTTCAACAGATACTTAAACAGGAAATGTAGACTTAACATGAAGAGTGCTGTTGTAGAGAAAACTAGTGGTTGCATTATTTGGGAAGTGGGAGGAAAGATACTACTCATTCATAAAAGCTTTTTTCATTTACTTTTTACTTCTGTTTATAGAATTTTCTGACGCTAACGCCAAGTTTTACTGTCGGCTCTACTACGCGGGAGAGTTTCATAAGATGCGTGAAGTGATTCTGGGCAGCGGTGAAGAAGATTTCATTCGTTCTCTTTCCCACTCATCACCATGGCAGGCCCGAGGGGGCAAATCAGGAGCTGCTTTCTATGCGACAGAAGGTAAGCTTTTTGAATCATTTTAATAACTAAATAGTATCCATTTTTTTCCTCACCTAATTTATGAATCATTTGGAGATAGAATGACATTATGCAGTGTCGAAGTGTTTGTTTTTATGCTTTAGAGTACAACAATTAAATGGTAAGAGAACTTACAGAAAACTGTAAAGGTTACCTCAGGGCTGAAGAGAGAAGAAAAGATAAGAATAAAAACATTTAACCTGAAAATAGGAAGGCCCAGTTTTTAACCTTCAAAGGTTGCCAGAAGATTACGAGCATCTGTACTTCACATTCTGTTTTTCATCCCACTGAAATGGAATTATTTGAAAAAATGCAGCAGGATGGATGTTAGTTGATCAGAACTCTCTTTTTTTTTTTTTATTGTTCTGTGGTTTATTGATGTTAACAAAGGAGTTTATAAGATTTTATTTAGTATTTTAAAACTTAGATTATCATCTAGCTGTGAATTTAGGGGTAGTATTGTCAAAAGAAGAGGATTCTTAACTATAAATCCTTAGGATCCCTTCCTGCTCTTCAATTATTTGAGAATGGTATTCTGATCAAAATTTTCTGTGTGACATCAGAAAATATCTCTTAAAAGCTTAAAGCAAACAAAATATTTGGGATATTTGGAGTGATGATTATAGATTGTCTCAGTATGTATAGAATTAACACATGAAATGTCTGCTTTTTAGATGATAGATTCATTTTGAAGCAAATGCCTCGTCTAGAAGTCCAGTCTTTCCTCGACTTTGCACCACACTACTTCAATTATATTACAAATGCTGTTCAACAAAAGGTAGAAATCCCAACCTTGGTCTGTTATCAGAGATTACTGGGCCTTTTTCACATCCTGAGGGTAAGGGCTAATGGCACAGTTTTCCCCATGGTAAGATGTGAACAGGACATGACTCAGTGTCTGTTTTGTGTTGAGATGTGATAGTATCCAGTGATTTAAAACTTTTTTTTTCCCCTACCCTTTCCAGTGAGGTACCAAGTGATCTCGAGCAAGTTGCCATTAATTAGTATATAAAAGCAAACTAAAAACATTCAGACTAGATGAAATCTGCTGCTCATTTAGTAACTTATCAATTGGCTGAGACAGAACTTTGAAATGTATGCTGAGAAATGCAGGGATGGATCCTTTAGGTAGAAAGAAACCAGCAGTCCAGGTCTGCCCACTTGTCGTTGTGTAAAGTCATTGTGTAGAGTATGGTGGAGCCATTTAGTTATGGTTTACTGCATGTTATTGGTAACATTAGATGCCATAATACAATTTATGAACTTGAGAAATTGTGAGGGATTATCCCTTGGGAAAATGTTAAGGACTTAATATTTTTTATTGGCAGTGCTGCTGTGCTTGCTCCTGAGATGGTGAGGGGTGGAGGGATATTGTGTCTGACTAATCTTAGCAATATATATGGATATTATATGAATCATATGCATACCAGTGTTATATTAAAAATAACCCGTTTTAATAAGAGTTTACTTTGATTTTTTTTTGATTAGCGGCCCACTGCATTGGCCAAAATTCTTGGAGTTTACAGAATTGGTTATAAGAACTCTCAGAATAACACTGAGAAGAAGTTAGATCTCCTTGTCATGGAAAATCTTTTCTATGGGAGAAAGATGGCACAGGTAAGGATATTATTAGACCGTGGATAGACCGTGGAGCATCTAGTTAATGAAACACTGTACTTTTAATTCCTAGTATAATGAATCAGTAACATTGTATTTGGTAGTAAATATTATAATTTCGGTTGCTAGGCCAAATTTAACTTTTCGAACCTTTGTGGAAAGAATAAAGAGGATATTGTAGACTGGTCCTAAAATTTAACAAGTTCTATATCTTAGAAGTACGGAATTGTAGAATAAGAATGTGTATCTAATTCCACAACGTCAGTTTTAAAGATGATGAAACTAAGGCGCAGAGAAGGTGTGTGCTGTTCATCAACATCATGCAGCTCTTCCTAGAACTCCGATTGGTCTAGATTGGAGATGAGTCCTCTTCTCAGTATTTGTCCTTGAACTGCTTGCAGTGTGTGGTAAAGAGCTTCTGCTAGAATATAATGCAGTGTACTTACCTTTACTGAGAATGTCTTGCTGTGAGAAGAACGTCAGCTGAACGAAGTGTGCTTACTCATGTAGTTGATTGACATTCTGGCACTAGCCTCTTATGCTATCATGAGCCAGAAACAGGCTGACCAGTGCAGCTATGTAGTCTGCTTCAGATTCCCCTGACCTTTGAGTCCATTGCTTTCCTCCTCTCCACATAGTCCTAGAGAAGTACTGTTATTTCTGCTTTGGCATAAAGAACTTGCACAGAGTTTTGGTATCACAGTTTTTTAAGTTTCCTAAGATTATTGGCAGCTATATTTATATATATATTTTGCTTCATGATCCAACTGTATTTTTGGAGTTACTTGTTAATGTACCTTAATTTTGATTAAATTGGCCAGTGTATTTCTGAAATGTTTCAGTGAGTGATATTAATTTCATATGACACACTTATACCACCATGTATTTTACCATGTATTTAATGACTGGTTATAATAATTATAATTTAATTACAAAATTAAACAGTACAATAGTAGTGACTGTAAGAAGTCTTCCTACTTTTTTTTTTATAATAGTCATATGTAGCATCTCACACATAAATTACAAACACTTTTCTCTCTGCTAGGTATTTGATTTGAAGGGTTCTCTTAGGAATCGAAATGTGAAAACCGATACTGGGAAAGAGAGTTGTGATGTAGTTCTGCTGGATGAAAATCTCTTAAAGATGGTTCGAGACAACCCACTGTATATCCGTTCTCATTCCAAAGCTGTGCTGAGAGCCTCAATCCATAGCGACTCCCATTTCCTTTCTAGCCACCTCATTATAGATTATTCTTTGCTGGTTGGTCGAGATGATACCAGCAATGAGCTGGTAGTTGGAATTATTGGTAAGTAACAAGCATACATTCCTTATTCTATAATTGAAGGTAGAATAAAAATTTTCAAGATTATACTGAATCTTGTTGTTGTTATGTGCTGTTGAGTTGTCTCTGAATCATAGTGACCCCTCCTTGGGTTTCTGAAGCAGTATCACTATGGAAGTAGATCACCCAGTCTTCCATCCGAGTAGTGGCTGGTGGGTTTGAATCTCCAGTCTTCTGGTTAGCAGTCTTCTGGTTAGCCTTAGGCACTACACCACCAGAGCTCCCTATACTGAATCTAGTAACAGTAATAGCTTATGGAGTTTCTCCACAAACTTTCATTTGATATTTCAAAGTTAATAGTTTATAACTTGTCCTTCTATTCAGTTTCCTCATTTATATTTCATTATCTTCACCAAAAATACCTGAGTTCAAAAAGCCACTTACCAACAAGGCCCTATAGGGTGTTGTGAAGATTAAATGAATTCATATAAGTTAAAAAATAAATAAACAAACCCCCCAAAAATCTTTGTAATAGCACCTGGCACATTGTCAGCACTCAAAAAAGGTAACAATTGTAGAAGTAGTAGTAATACAAATTGTTATTGTCACTTATGTATTTTTATTAACATAGTTTAACTGCTAATTTTTCTACCCCTAACAGATTATATTCGGACATTTACATGGGACAAAAAGCTTGAAATGGTTGTAAAATCAACAGGAATTTTAGGAGGACAAGGTGAGTGTAGTGTTTGTTTTGTTTACTCTTACAAATGTTATTAGGTCTTTTTTGTAACAGCTAAAATTTTTTAAATGGATACTTCTTTAAAAAAAAAAATCTAAAAACTAAGTGGTTCTATTTCATTGTAATCTTCAAAATGACCAAAAACTAAGAGGAATTATGTAGGTGAGAAGTATTGGGTTTAAATTTTTGTTAAAATAACAGATAGCCTGAAAAGACAAAGTTTAAAAAAAAAAAAATAGAAGAAGGAAACCAGAGGTTCTGAGTAATGGGTGCTTTGTCTTTAATTCTTTAAAAACAAGTGTTTGAAGTTCTGCAAGCACTGCTAAGCAAGAGCCAGTCTTTTGTCATGGAAGACTGCTCCCAGAGGAACACTGTTCCATGTTACAAAGTACAGTGGACACCCTCACCCTACCTGCTCACTTAAACTGTTCCCGTATATGTGTCTATATGGTGGTTGCATGAAGGAACATAGTTGGCTGAAGTCAGTTGCCCAGTCAATTATATAACAGCTTTCTTTCCCCATTTCTCTTTCCTGATCTTAGGTAAAATGCCAACTGTTGTCTCTCCAGAATTGTACAGGACTAGATTTTGTGAAGCAATGGACAAGTATTTCCTGATGGTACCAGACCACTGGACAGGGTTGGGTCTGAACTGTTGAAGTGTGAAGCACATGTTTTGAAATGGACTATAAAGGACAGGGGCCTAGAGGAAAGGACCAAAAATAAGCTACATGTTTTATTTCTTCACATTCACCACTGAACGCAAGGCCTCTCAGTGTCGTGGCTGGTTAGGCCATCTATAACTGAAGGGCAAAAGCTGCAGCAAGTTGCACTTTGGGTTTTGAAACCTGTGAATTAGCTATTTGTTTGTAGGCTGGGGAGTTGTATGAACTTTTTCTCACTTAAGCTAAAGTACCCAGACGCATTTCAAAGGAGTAAAGGACATGGTTAAAGGATGGTTAGTGGTGAGTAGTAGATAGGATGAAAAACGGATAGTCCTATTTGCTAACTGCAGGTGTTGAGAAGAAAATAGTGTCTCCTAGACTGTACTCTCCTGGCATCACATTTGACACTTTCTTTATTTTGAAAGCATTTGTAGAGCTGGTGAATTTGTTTTGTGTTTCTTATGTAATAATTTAATATTACTTACTAGAATTTCTGAAGCCTTTAAAAGAATTCTTAATTATTCCATTTATGGCCAGTTAAACAGGTTGGTGCAGTCAATCTGTTGTTTCATTGAGAATCTTGTCTTATTCGGTATCTTCCCAGCTTGATATGCTTTGAGTATGTTTGATGTTTTTAAGTCTTTCTGTACTTCTCTGTGGGTGACAGGATACTGCAGACATGACCTTTAAGCTATTTTTTAAAGCTTGTTTACAACTTTTATGAAATTAGTATATTAACTGTACTTACTAATATGCTTATATTCTAGGTTCCACCCCCCACCCCACCCCTCTTTGAGAAAAACAACATTAATAACTGAGACTGTAATCACTAAATTCCCAAAGAGAGAATTATTAATGAAGGCTTTTTCTTTTTTTAAAATATAAAAAATAAATGAGACCTGATCCAAAAATTAGGGTAAGAAGGAAGCATTTACTTGTTTTCATAGAGGTGAAGCATGTTTTTCAATATAGCTAGCAATTTAAGTGGAATCTATAAAATTAACAGGTTTTCAGTGTGGAATCCCTCTTTTCTAATGTTTGCAACATACTGGCTAGCTCTGACCACTGAGAAATGTTAAGAGAGAAAGTTATTGTTATAAGGAACTTCCTGTTTAATGGTCAGAGTTTTTGCTTTTAAAAGTGATTAGAAGTACTAAACTATCTTCCAGGAAATACTGTAACCCAGAATATTTCCTCTTGGCTTTGTTCTGTAATAGGGATAATTTTGAGATTTATAGTTTTCAGCATTCCTCTTCTTCAAGCTTTCCTTAATTAGCACATTTCTCCACTATTTAATCTTACAATTTTCATATGATAAGAAAACAATCTGGGTAAATTTCAATTATGTAGACTATAGGTACATGAAAGAGGAACCTTTTGCAAAGTTTGCTTTAGAGAATGAAAGCATTAGTTTGCTATTTGGTGCTTATTAGAAACCTGGTTTCTTTTGAACTGGAGCAAGTTGAGTGTTGATTTGTGACAGATTCTATGATGAGCACTTTTTTCTTTTAAACATATGTATGTGCCTTGTGAAGACATACAAAACACTGATGATTTTAGTTTTGATATCAAAACTTGTAAAGGAGTTGCACAAAGGTGAAAGATATGGAACGTTATCCGGGAATGATGGATTTTGCATCAGATTTTGAATGTAAACACTGTCTCTCTGCTTATTTTATGTGTCGAGTTATTTGGAATTATGTATCCTATCCATTTCTTGTACTCCTACTTATGAACACTTCAAGTAGAAAGTGTCTTCCCCTACCCAGAATCAGGTTGTTTTAGTCTCAGTACCATGTGTACAGCTGAATGTTCTGTAGGAATAGTTCCTGACAATATATGTGTTATGTAGATTTTGTTTACCTTGCCCATGACTTGAAAAATTATTAAAATCTGCTGAGTCTTAGGTAATTTTGTGGTTATGAAAAATTCCAATGTGATCTATTCTGAAGCCATAGTTGCTACCTTGCAGGGATCATCTATCTTTTTTAAAACCGATGTTTGGGCTGTGTTACTGAAGGGCCAATGTAAAATTTAACTTTGTTTTTAACAGTTGGACCATATCCTTACCACTTCCTCTTACAGAGATCACCACCATATATATAAGCTGTTTCAAATATTGTGCTAAGTAAGCACTAAATAGCTGAGTATTTTCCTCTCTTGAATCCTCTTTCAAAGCCTGGAGAATATTAATGTTGAAAAGTTAGTAATGAGAAAGAAATCTCAATACTTTCTTGCATAGAATGACGAATGAGTCCTGAGAATAATTTGTAATAGCACAAGAAAACTACGGGAACATGTTGCTTTAGATAAAAATCTTACTTGTAAATGAAGCTTTTTGATACCATCCAAATTTATAAAAAAAAGTATTTACTTTTTTCCTGTCCAGGCCTGAGGAAAAGAAGGTGAATAAGCTGTTGCAAGCCCTTTTGTAGAGTACTGAATACTTTAAATTTAGAGATACTCAACATTTCCTACAAAATGTTCTTATAATTTTTCCTTGAACCAGCAGTGAGTGGTTTTCTAGCATTGTCTTCTGTTGGGTGTTATAAATAGTAGGGTCGTATTGGTTTTTGTGGTATCAGCAACTCCTTGGTATTTTACCCATTAGTAGTGGGCTTGTATAAAACTGCCAAGGAAGGTAATCTACATGTAGAAAGTGCTTAGCTAGCAGAGTGAAAACTAGTGAGAGTGAGCCTGACTGTGCAACAGGTCAAGCCATTCATTAGTCCTCAAGTGTTAACAGACTGACTTAGGCAGTATTCAAAGTGTCTAGTGCAATGCCCTTTTTTGTTTCTTTTTTGTAACACGGGTGCAGTGTATTACAGAAAAGTAAAAATTACAATCATGAGCAGTTTTTAATAATGCTGCTTTATCAGTTTTGTAAAAAAATGTACATTGCGTCTTTTGACAACTTTAATTTTAACTAGAGAAATGACGTTGTAAATCATAATAGCTTCTTTTGAGAAATTCAGTTAACAATATTAAAATGACTTAATGTATTATATTGTATATATTTCTCCACTTTGGTTCCCGCTGTGTTTTATATGATTGAGATGTTATTTAAAAGATAACTGACTTGACCTTTTGGAGACTCGTACTGTAAATAAAAACTACTTACAATAAACTGAGAATGTACTTACTCCACTTAGCCATGAATCTGTTTGAGGAAATTAACAACGTAGCGATACGGAGTTTGGTGCGCCAGCCTAACCCTACCTAGCCTAGGCGTAGCGCCCAATCTTTCTATTCATTCTCTTCCTCTTTTACTTGCCGGCTAGTTAGAACTGTCTCCTGTCTCCCGAACACCGGGAAATGAGTCTTAAATCCGTTTTTCGCTCACCCAGTGACGGCCATGGGCCTTAGGCCTTTCCATTTGGCCTGTGTTTCCTTTTCTTGATAGGGTAGTCACCAATGTCCCGCCCTTCCCCTGTCGGGATTGGCTGAATCCTCTTCGGGGGCCGGGCCTCTCTGAACTAGAAGTTACTCCGCGCGCTTAAAGAGCCTTATTTTGCTACCTGAGGTGGGTTCTGCCAGCTTTGCCGTGAAGTGGAGACGCGCGACTGTGAGGCCTACCTCGCGGCGCCTGGAGTCAAAGGGGCGAAGGTGAGACGGCCGGGTCGGGCAGCGGGTCCCCATGCGCCCCAGAGGCGGTCGCTGGGGCGGGTGCCGGCCGGAGGGGTGGCGGGCGGGACCGCTCGGCAGTGGCGGCGGCCCGGGCTCTGCGCCTTTCTGCTTTTCTCCTGCGGTGGCGGAGGAAGCGCTGTGGAGGCCCGTGGCGTTGCGAGTTCGCCTGCCTCGATTCACTCAGGAGTCGCTGGTGTAGGAAAGTAATTTATTAGAAAGTTCCTAGATTAAGGAAACAAAGCTTATTTATTTATTTATTTTAAAATACCCTTCAGAATGTTCTTTTAGGCTAGCTCTTAAGATACTCTGAAAACGTGTTAATTTTTCGGACAGTGGAAGACTGGGAAAAGCATTTAGAAAGAAAAACTTCTCGGCAAAGGAAGGGTACAGACCTTTGAAGGATTGTCTCATCAGACAAAACTAACAAAACTTACTGCAAGCGTAAAGAGGCTAAGATAGAAGGTGACCAAAAATTACCAAGCATGTAACTGACCTATTTGTGGTGGAAAAACCACGGTTCGGTATTATTATATCTGCAGAGATTGAAAAGTCAAACAAAACATTGTGTTAAGTGAGCAGTAACTTGAAGGAAATGGCCAGGGTTTCATTTATTTGGGAGACTTGAACTGAATTGGGTGACTTGGAAGTTTAGATGACTTTTTTGAGAAGTTATCTGAGGTTGCAGAGTTTGGAATTTTTTCTCCTCACTGTAGGATGTGCTATGATCCATTCGTGGTGGAGAGGACAAGATGTCAGTCAGGCTTCCACACTTCCTGCCTGTTTCCTTTTTGGTTCATCACTCATGTTGCAGGAAAGGGAATTTACCTTGTGTCCGCTGTGAAGGAGGTCATGAACCTCCTGAAACTTAATGCATCGTAATGTGCGTTTGACACTGGAGGAGGCCAGAAGCTTTCAGAAGACTTGCAAAGTTAGCCTGTTCCAAATGACCTTAAAATTTTACATCTTTATTTATTTATTTATTTATATTATGATTTGGGTGAAGATTTGCAGAGCAAATTCACTTTCCAAACAGCAGTTCACACATACTTTGTCTCATGTCATTGACCACAGTTTA